AAAAATATGTTTATATAAAATTATGAGGAAGAAAAAGGTTGAAAATACAAAGCATGGTGTTGGTAATGCCCAAATAACGAAGATTGCTCTAAACTTTACTGACTGCGATGTCTACACTTCGGATGTCAAAAGCCAACCCGAGATTACATATCTTCTACATTATCCTCCTGCAATTTATAACTTAATTTCAAGGTTATGTAAAGCAATTAATCATTGTATTGTCAAGGATATTGATTGTACACCTACTTAAAGTTAATATATTGTTTGATAAACAGTTACAAACATTACAACCAGTGTGCTGGGCCCGTTACTCTTTTTGGTTTAGGTACATAAAAGACAAATGTATATATAAAACACCGTTTCATAAATTTTTACGCAGATGATACTCTTTTATCTGTTTCAAGTGCAAATTATGAGAGTTTCATCAAATTTGTCGAAAACATGATTTTTATTATTTTCTGTCAGTTATCGTTTGACAACATTGCGTGAAAGCTCGTGACGTTTGGATAAATGAAAATATTTTATTTTAGCGTTATGGTAACGCCACGTATCATCCAGTAAATTCAATACCAGGTATCAACATATTTTAAGGTTAAGAAAGTATTTGAATGGTCGCTGTGCATGTGGTATGACATTTGGTAATGATTTTTTGCAATTTAAACTAAAAAGGTAAGTTAATTTCGAAATAAGATTGTTTGTTACTTAATAAAATACATTCTAAAATAGTTTTTTTAGCACATTTTAATTAAATACCGCCTATTATTCATGAAACGGATGTTACGTGCAATTATGATTTTTTCTTTTTAAATAAGGCTGACCCGTGTACTTTATGTTTGATAATTACGTGTTATTTAATAAATTTAAAAACAAACTGGACAATACATGTCGTTATTACTTACTATTACTATACTAAAGTTTTTTGTTTCAGAAAATGAATAACTTTCCAATTTCACAACTTTGTGGTAATATCAGAAGCAAGAACATCTTAGAAATGGCTTTAAATTATCCAGTAATTATTGCAGAGGAAAGTTTGCCGATTATTGAAGATAGGTGTATTGCGGCACATTTAGATCCAGATATTAATAACGAGAACAATGAGATCCAAATAAATAATGAAAACCAAACCAAAAAAGGCACCACCAATATATCTAATAGCAATTTTGAAAAAGATAATTTGTTAGAAGATGTAACAAATATTACAGAAATTTGAACATTGGAACAAACAGACATTGCAAATGGCGCAAATTTAGAAACTAACAATGAATCAGAGATTGACGACAATCTTGATGATCCTTATTATGAAGAATCCAACGAAACATTAGACTCAGAAGATGGGCTGGATAAGGATGTAGCAGAAGAAGGAAAAAAGCGAAGAAGAAAACCGGCGAAGGCCGAATGGGATAGACAAAAAACAAGATTGAAAAGGATGAGGGGAGAAGGGTATTTAGGTTACACAAGAACCAAGTATGGCAAAGTATTCCACAATAAAATGAGACAGCCGAAGACTATGTGACCTTCTTGTACTTCATCGAAGTGTGTTAAATACAAAACCAGGTTCTGCAATACTATAAACATGGAGACAAGAAAAGTAATTTTTAACAAATATTGGAAAGAATTAGAATGGGACCAGAAAAAAATCTATGTAACAAGTTTAATGAAGAAGAGTACTGCTAGAAAATTTGTAGCAGGGAAATCAAGAAGGTCATTTACTTATGAATATTTTTTGAGGGTTGAAAATGAAGTTAAGCGGGTGTGTAAAAAAATGTTCCTATCAACGTTGGGACTAAAAGAATGGATGATATCACACTGATGTTTGGAAAACATTCATGGTATGCACAGCCCCCGACATGTTGTTAGTACTACTCGGAAACTTGATCGGCCCCAACAACCCCTATAGCAAAATTTATTCATTGTATATTCAGATGATATTCATCATACATTCATGTATATTCTGTATATCCATGGAATATACAATGCATGTCCAATGATGTATGTATAAACATGGCTGTTCTACGAGTATACGAGGAACATACTTATACATCCATGTATATTCCACAAATAAACAAATATGTATGTTCCCAGCATTTCTATTATGTATGTTCATGAAATATACATACTAAATACATACATAACATTAGGTAAACTGTACTTGCTGCGAATATGCCTGGTATATCCACCCCATTTTAATGTATTATACTTTTTATCTACATGAATGCTGAGTGCTGATATTAAAAAAAAGAAGAATAAAGAATATTGTAACTTCTCTTATCTATGAGTATAACGGAACCCGGACTAGTACGTTCGTACCGATTTAAGTAAGTTCACAACTTTTTTCTCATTTTTTTAGTACGTGTATCCTGTACGTGAGTACCATCGGCGTCAATTCTAGTACTATTTCTATTGCTGTAGATTTTTACATTTTCACATAGACAGGTCTGTACATCATAAAATAAGAACAAATTCAATAAACAATAGATATTTTGAATTTACCGCCAAATTTTCATTACTTTTTTGGTTGATAAGCTCATAAGTTGGCAATTTTGTTTTACCTGTCTAAACCGTCATGTCATAACAACGTGGCCATAACCTATAAATAAAAACGAGTGTGTGAATTATTTTCCCGCTAATAGTAAGTGTTCTGTGCCGCTAATAGTTTCCAGTTTCCCTCCGATTCTAAAACTAAAACGAAACGTGATAGTACTTGTTTTTTACATCATGCTATTGTGAACGTGATCTTTTTACCTGAAGATGACTGGAAACCCTTCAAGGTTGCTGTATTGGGGCGTTATGGTAGGAAAGGCTAAAATGTTTAAATATACAGTATTATTTTTTTTATCTTTGTAGAAAGCTTAGAGGTAGCATCCCGAAAAGCACAGAAGGCTTTAGAAACTAGTGAATTAGATAGCATTAATGATTCATTGGGAAGAAATGGTCCTCGACCCCGTAACCGTTTGAAACCTAGGAGGTTTAACTCTTCTGAATCTGACAGTGGGCCTGATTCAAGTGACTCCAATAGTTATCCACGATATCCAAAAACATTAGGAGGTGCTAAAGGTATGTAATTGTATCTTAACATTTATTAATTATTGTTGATTTTGCTGAATGTAACTTTTAAAGTAATATACTCGATACGTGGGTTGACTTTTTGCACAACAATTAGGTTATATTTTAGGAAGAACCAGAGAAGCTTCTCTATCAAACAAGGAAAATCGTGCTTCATCATGTGATAGGCCAAACTCTATGTCCTCCATCCATAAAGAAAATCCTACTTCCACCTGTGATAGGCCACTTTCCGAGCCCTCGTCCCATAAGGAAAATTATGTTTCTTTTATTAACAATTCAAATCTTGCTTCATCCGTTACTGTGCAGAAAAGTATCACATGCAATTGCAATTGTCATGATGCAGGTAAAGCAATAGGTAATATTAAAAATATTTACATATTTCATCTATATTGTATTTTTAGGCTTCAGGACAAAACTGTGGGAAGAATTCCTCATATTAAATAATAAACTCGATGACCTTCTTTTAAGCAGGGTTGTAACTGCACAACCAGTTGATGTTCTTCCCAATAGGGAAGTTATAGAAGAACAAAAAAAAATAATTGGTTTGTTGCCAATAAAAAACAATGAAGACATGGCAAAATTGGAGGATTCACTCATAGCTCATAGGCAGTTTATGGTAACTATTTTTTTTTCTTTGCCATATAGTGTTGTAAACACTTAGGAATAATGAAATGGTTAGAACGAGGTAGATATATCTTTTCTCCTTGTGAATATGTTAATGTTTGTAGTTTTTTGACTGTCACTTATTTACTTTTAATGATATAACTTAAAATTTTAGGTCAAGGAATTATCCCTATTAGGAGGCAATTCTGTGAAAGAGGTGGTGAGAAAGTGCATGTATCGCACTTTCTCTAATGAATTTGGCCAGTTGTATACTTGGGAGGGGACGAAGAAGAAAGGTGCTCTAAAAAATTTTTTGGTTGCCCAAGTAATTGTTGGTAAGTGGGAAAGTTATTTGTCACATTTAATTATTAATCGTTAGATCGATATTTGAGAAAAGATCCATTTTTTACGAAGGTCTTAATATATTTAATAAATTTACCAAACAGATAAACAAGTTTAAAATGAATTTTAAAAAATAACATATTAAACTTGTAACTAGTTTTTGCTCTTTTTTTTATTTATTTGCCTTTGGAGAAATTAGTATTTAACAATTACATACATTACCTTTTTTATATTGTCAACTATTTTTCTATTTGCTTTTTTGGGGGAATAACGAGTTATTTTTTTTTTTTTTAATTTGGTGTCATCGGCGTCGACTACTACGGCCATTAGCCTCGTGTTCTGTGTAGGCTTTGTTACTGTTTCCCAGCGCCACTTTAGGAACAGCACTGTTAATTAGAACCCAACAGTGAATGGTCGAGTGGGGAATCCTACCAAGGCATCAGAATTAATTTTAAATAATTAAATTAAATGAAAAAATCCCGGCCAACGGTGGGATTCGAACCTGAGACCTTCCGATCTCAAAGTCATGACTCTAACCACTGAGCCAACCCACCCCCCTAATAACGAGTTATTATTATTATAATTATTATGAATAATATACTTTGTTACTATAGTTAATATTTATTTCAGATGCTATACGTTGTACACATCCAACGGCTACAGAAGCCGAAATTATATATTTCATTAAATTGTGGTTAGTTAGAGCCAAAGACAGACTAATGCCCAAGAGACCAGATGGAGAAGAAACTCGAGGTCCACAAGAAACACAAGAAGGATAATAAGAAACTCGAGTGGTAAGTAATTTTTAATTATAAATGGCTAGTATAATTTGAAATTTGTGTCCGATATGTTCATAAATCCGTAGCAATATTAATCTATTTTTTCACGTAGGTCCTAAATAAAAATGAAAAAATGTTTCTTAATGCCTTAAAACTCAAGGGATGCCCAAGAATTTTTAGTAATGAGACATATACTGGTAGAAATTCGCTAGACTAGTCGAAATCACACGATATATTAACCAGATTACCGTGATCTAAACCTAATTTCAATCTGCTGCCTTCTATATTTCGAACTAACTGCAATTTTACTAGAGATAAGTGCCACTTCCACAGCAAATTCATCCTTATTTTGAACCAGCCGTCAATATTTGCAACTAAATCGAGGAAGAGAGAAGTGTTTCCAGGTGTTGGAGAAGATACGACCTGATATGATGTAGAGGGGGAACTTATCTCTTGTAAAATTTCAATTATTTTTAAGTTTAGAAGGCAGGAGATTCAAATTAATACAGAGCATGGCAACATTGAAACACCTGGATAATATATCCTGTGATTTGAACTATTAGTGTAAATTTATATCACTATAATGTGTCATTACTAAAAATTCTTGGGTATCCCTAGAGTTTTAAGGCACTTGGAGACATTTTTTAATTTTTTTAGGTCCATGTTTTTTTTTTTTTTTTTTTTCGATATATGGCCTAGGTGTATATACCTAATATGCCAGTCTCAAATTTGTGTTTAAATTCTTAATCATGTGTGTTCTGTGTAGGCTTTGTTACTGTTTCCCAGCGCCACTTTAGGAACAGCACTGTTAATTAGAACCCAACAGTGAATGGTCGAGTGGGGAATCCTACCAAGGCATCAGAATTAATTTTAAATAATTAAATTAAATGAAAAAATTCCGGCCAACGGTGGGATTCGAACCTGGGACCCTTGGATCCACAGGCACAGGCTCTAACCACTGAGCCACCCACCCCCCCGGTCCATGTTAAAAGTTAGATTAATTAATTAATTAATTTTTTAATTAATTAATTATCTCTACGGATTTATGAAAATATTAGACACAAAAATTTCAAATAATACTAGTCCATTGCAATAATATACAAGATAGAACACCTTGTAGCTAAATGACAAATAATACTGACAAAATAAGTTTACTGGTACTGGACAATAATGCAAACAGTAAAAGTCTCTTTCGATTTATTGTCTACTATAATAAAGTATTTTTTTTTAGGATGTTTAGAAAGGAAACGCCACCACTACCACTAGGGCCGTGGCAATTTTAATTTTTATTTTTTTTGTAATTTTGTTTTTAATTAATGTATATTATAACCATTTATGATAGTTTTAATGTGCAAGGTCCTACTAGGCCTGTAAATACATGAGATATTCATAGTATGTAATATGTATCTTCTAAGAACATTTGTGGAATATTCTGAACATGCTCAGTACATTCCCATGTTAATCATGAACATACATACGTTATACATTGATATACATGTATATTTAATGAAGGTTATATGTATATACATATGGATATTCCTGGAATATGTAAAAGTGGGTCCACTGAAGTTACATCTGAACATTCATATGATATCCACAGAATATTCACAATGTTATTTATGTATATCGTATGAATATCCATGGTATAAATATGAATATTCTGAGTACATCCCAGGTATAAATTTTGCTATGTGGGAAAGATCTATTCAAATTGCTGAGGAACAAAAATTATTCTTAAGATCATTTTTTGGTAAATTACCAAAACAGAGCTCACATTACTGTAGAAAGGAGTCATAAGCTCTACCTAGAAGGAGTTTTCTGTTCAAAAATGGATGTGTTTAGGCTCTACCAAAAACACTGTACGGAAAACAACCAACAAGCCCTGAGTGTGTTTACATTTTGGTCAATTTTTGAATAAATGAACTTGTCTTTATTTAGCCCAAAAAAGACCAGTGTAATACATGCGTGTCTTATAGTGCTGGCAATGTGACTGATGAGGAGTATACAAGACATATTGAGTTAAAAGATGCAGCTCGATTGGAAAAAAGTGAAGATAAGAGAAAAGCAGAGATAGGCGACCAATATACTTTTGTTATGGATGTACAAGCAGTTAAACTATGTCCAGTTAATAATGCAAACAAGTTCTACTTTAAGACGAGACTTAAGTTGCATAATTTTACCATTTATAACTTGGCCAGTCACCAATGTACAAACTATTGGTGGAACGAATCAGAAGCAGATCTTGTCTCATCTGTTTTTACCACTATTATAATAAGCCATTTAGAAAAATATTGTACTGAAGATAAACCCACTATTTTATGGAGTGATGGTTGCCCTTACCAAAATCGCAATGTGGTTTTGGCTAATGCTCTATTAAACTATGCTGTAAAATATAAAAAATAAGTGATCCAAAAGTACTTAGAACCGGGGCACACTCAAATGGAGTGTGACTCGGTTCACAGCGTTATTGAAAGAAAACTTAAAAATAGAGACATTTTCTTACCATATGATTATGTAAACATAACAAAAAATGCTAGGCTTAAACCTTTCCCATATGACGCAGAGTACCTTGAATATCCATTTTTTAAAAATTATGATAACTCAGACTTGATGAGATACAAGAGCATTCGGCCTGGACGTGGAACAAGAGATCCAACAGTAACTGATCTTCGAGTAATCCATTATGGGATGGATGGCAAAATTAATTATAAACTAAACTTTTCCCACGATTTGAAAGATTTGCCTCAAAGATACAAGGAAGTTAGTGTTAATGTATTACCCCAAAACTTGTTGCAGAGAAGAATCAAAATATCAAAATTAAAGTTTGATCATCTACAAGATATCAAAACGACCTTACCAAGAGAATTTCACCACTACTATGAAAATTTGCCTTTTCAGTGATTTCAATTTTTTTATGTTTTTTAATAAGTAAGTTTTTGTACTTTTATTACTTGAAATAGTGACTTTTATTTTAGTTAATGAGTTAGTTTGTTGATTATAATAATATTTTCTATTTTATCCACAATGTTTCATTATTAAGAATAAAATGTATTAACCCGTATCATCACAATTTTTTTTTTGCAATAACTCGTATCAAACCTAATACTGACAAATAATATTTTTTTTACGTTAACTGGCATAACAATTTGATATGTACCTAAAAACATTTACTATTTGCAAAAAATTACACTGTCATACTCGAAACCGGACCACTAATACATTTTTATCGTTTCCTGAAAACTTGGAAAAATGTTAATACCTCTAAGCCATCGATATATATTTGTGTCAGTGTTTTATTTTTGTATATTTTTGTTTTCTTAAATATAGTGTACTTTATTTTTTATTTGTTTTATTTTTGATAATTTGATTATCAGTCTATTTTTTTTTATATTTGCTTATCCTCTATAGATTATTACAATAGTACATGCTAAGTAATTAAAAAAAAATTAGTTAAAAGTAATTGTCAAAAAAAAGGAATACATACTTTATTTATTGGTAACCAAGACGTGTTATTTATAGAGCATATACTCTCTGTATCTGTATGGTGAAGAGGGTGGGTTTCTCCACAGCACTCATGCTTCATTAGGCCAATTATGCATCCTACAGGGGCACATAGGGCCTACCTCTACTGTAAAAACCTGCTGGTCATCGCTGAGAGATGTCTTCAGAAACAGTTATCTTCTCAGCTCATCAAAGTCCTGCAGGTTATCAACTCGTTAAAAATCTGCTAGTTGTCGCTGTGGGGTGTCTCTCCAGCTCATCAAAGTCCTGCAAATTATCAACTCATAATAAAAATGTTTGTTCCAGTGTTGTAAAAAATAGGGGGGAAAAGTTACCACTAGCCCGATAGTGTGTCACTAAATTTTTCAAAAGAGAGTTTATGTCAACATATTACTTTCTTAAAGAACATAATGGTCACCAAATTTGAAAAATGTATAACAAATTTTGAATTTTTGATTTCAAACTTTCAACACCTTGTAGTTTAACTAAGTCCTTTAGGTTCCTATATTAAAATTAATTAATTCACGAGAGCTCTCTGTGGTAAAGCGTTTTCGGTTGAATATTATTATATTATTATTATTATTATTATATACTAACACTCAGCATATACAAGGTGGACCACCAGTAACTGCATCGAACGATATCTCAGAAACTGGATGGAAGTTTACAGGCACACTTTAAAAATAAAAATTTTCTAAAGTCAATCATTTGTTATGTCTTGTTTCATTTTCTAAAAATATTTTCTTAAATGCTTTTTTAAACTTTAATTTCTATATATATTTACCTGATTCTTTTCTTTTTTCTTTCTCAATGTCAAATATTTATCAATTTTCCACATTTTGTTTCTTGTTACATACCAACTGTCACCTAAAAATAAAATTTCATTTTTCATTAATTTTTCAAGATTTTTCACCTTGTTAATATACCTATTTTATAATATATTTCTTTATCATTTACTCAATTTATTTAAATTTTTCCATTTTATTATTGTTCTCCTGTATAATATTGTATAATTACATAATTTTTCGTAACTTCAGTTAATTTTAATTAGCCTTTTTCCTGGGAAGATTTAAAAAAGCTCCGCTACAGGCAGCACCGGTGGGGGGTACATATGTTTTGAATTCTTTATTGACAACAATATCAAACGTATAGATTTATATTGGAATTAACGGAAGATGATGTAACTGGAGCGAAATTGAAATTTGCAAAGTGCAAGATCATCTTGTCCGAGACTTAAAACGATGGCTTGCATCGGCTTAACCGTGTCAGGTAACAAAAATGTCCTAGTTGAAAGGTTACTTGGTTTATACATTTTCTCGTATGTCATTGTAATATTGAAAATATTATAATTTTAAATAAAATATGTTGTTTTTGTTTCTATATGTAAGAATTAAGAATGCATTGCAAATGGTAATGTTAAAAAAAATTTCATTGGAATTGATAGTGGTAAATGTCTAACGGATAAACAGCAACGCATGAAATTACTCAATTCAACTCTACCAAGTTCAACATCCTGCGCTTTTCCTACTACAAACTGGGCAAATTTTTCATTCAAAGCTATCCCTCGTTCTTTTTGCTATGCTATAATGTATAATTATATTACTACTGGTCCTATATGTAGACTGATATAAAATATAACCTCTTTAAATAAACAATTACTAACCTTTGAAACTGCCGCTGGTAATAGATTTGGGTTTTCTATTCTTGATCCATTTGAATTAATAAAATGTCTTGTACAAATAAAAGTATGTTTTTTTTATTTTTTCAACTGATAAATCTGCCCTTCGTGATAAATGTATCCACTCCAATCACTTTTTTTTTGTCAACTTGTGGTTTTATAAAAGGCACAAATTTTACACCATCTTGCTTGTAACGACTGTCAGACGTACAATTAGCAAACGCACAATGTTTTGTATGCATGACATTTTGTTTTTAATTTTTTTTTCACAATATTTATTTTTTCTGATAATAATAAAACGTACGTTTGACGTAGTTGTCAATAGAGAATTCAAAACATATGTACCCCCCCCCCCCCCCCCCCCCCGGTGCTGCCCCTAGCAGATCTTTTTTAAATCTTCCCAGGAAAAAGGCTAATTGTTTTAATTTTTAAATAATTTTATAAATTCATTATTGGACACGTCATTTATATTATATTTAATTCCATTTGGCTGTATATCACATAATTTGGTTTGTTTTTAGTTTTTAATTCAATTTCTCTCTTAAAGAGGACACCAGCAGTAATAATTTTCTTATATTCAAGAGAAAAGTGAACAACCTTTTTTGGTTCTTTTCGAAAATTCGGACATTTTGATAATCCAGACAGTGTCTGCTCACAATTAATCCAAATTATCGACGCTCCGCTGTACTCTTTATTCTATCATTTATTACCATTCTGGAATACGAAACCAAATATCAATAAATGTGAAATTTGTCTAGGTGTAACTCATACTAATATAGATTTTTTATTACATGCATTAAATCAATCAAAAATTTTACCATTTGCAAATCATCAATCTTTATATATATAAAATGCTGAATAAGTGCACTAAAGATCCCAACAAGCTAAAATTTTGATTTTTACCAGATGGGGATAATTTAAATCAAGTGGTAAATACTTCTTGTTGCCCTAATAAAACTTATTGTTCTTTTTTAAATTTCTACCTCTATTTACATATTTTTTTCTCATTTTAGGTATCTACAGTTTTACAGCCTATAACCAATCATAATAACGCCAGTGGGAATTCAGTGGTAAGTAGCATCGGCTAGGATGATTAGTTTTTATACGTTATCTATTTTTGTTTTGTTCGTTATGTAAAGTAATGTTTAATTATAGGGGTACCTTCTGATGTACCTTCAACAGACGTTGCCGAAGTAGGGTGTTCGCTGGACTCAGGAACTCAACAAAAAAAAAAAAAAAGATACCCATAATTATCACATATCACCAATTTATTCCAACGAAAGTGATGTGGATCACACGGATTCCGATCCAACTTATGAATTAGAAAACAATAAAAAAGTTAACCTGATAAAATAATTCTAGTAGATCCTGCAGTACCTGTAGTTCTTCTTCTACCTCCCGTGACTCAAGTCCGGTTCAAAAAACTGCTCAGAAGGAAAGGAATCGCACCAGAAATCCTTAGTTGTGGAAACAAAACCTTGCAAAGAAGTTGAGAAATTCAGGAAAAGCATACAAATCTGTCTCTCAAATAGAGATATCCCTGCTCGGAACGTGAAGGGAACCTGTAAGGAACAGTGTAGACTTAAATGCACTGAAAATATTGATACTGAGACTCGTATATCATTTTTTCAGAATTTCGGGAACCTTGGAGATTTAGGCCTAAAAAGATCATTTATTGATGCATACATGAGAAATGTTATGCCAAAATACAAATACACAAATTCTGAAAGAAATGCTAACAAGGCTTTTTTACTTTACAATAAATGAGAAGCCAATTAAGGTTTGTAAAACATTTTTTAGAAATACATTAGATATCACAGATAGAATGATTCGTAGCGTTTCATCAAAACTAGATGAAAATGGATTTCTGAAAGAAGAAAATAGAGGAAAACATGATACTCATCCCTAACTTGATGAAGATTTAGTGCAAGCTATTAAGAATCACATAAACTACATACCCAGAATGGAATTGCATTATGTGAGAGCAAACACGGAACGTGAGTTCATAGATTGAAGCAAAACCATAGCAGATCTGTATAGGAATTTTCAGGAAAACCAAAAAAACACTAATAAAGATGCTGGAAAATACTGTACTTATTATAAAAATTTTATGACAGAATTTAACATTGGATTCTTTTAACCTAAGAAATACCAATTTGTGTCTATCATATAATAATGCCATTGGAGAATCCAAAGCAAACTTAGAAGAGCAGTACCAGACCCATAGTGAGCAGAAAAATTTATGTAGACAACAGAAACATGAAGATCGAGTTATGATATTGAAAACCAGTAAAGTTGTAGTTTACAATCTTCAGGCCATATTACAATGTCCTAGAGGTGATACATCAGCATTTTTTTACAAGTCAAAATTTAATACTTATAATTTTACTATTGTTGAATTGAAAAAAAAAATGAAACCGTAAAAGAACGGGATCAACGTGCTTATAAGAATATACACTGCTTTTATTGGAATGAAGTGGAGACTAAAATAGAAGCCATCAAAATTGGATCCTGTAATAAGTACTGCATCTTTATTAGTAATTTTTTGGTTTTCCTGAAAATCCCTATACAGATCTGCTATGGTTTTGCTTCCATCTATGAACTCACGTTCTGTGTTTGCTCTCACATAATGCGACTCCATTCTGGGTATAGAGTTTATGTGATTCTTAATAGCTTGCACTAAATCTTCATCAAGTTGGGGATGATTATCATGTTTTCCTCTATTTTCTTCTTTTAGAAATCCATTTTCATCTAGTCTTGATGAAATGCTACGAATCATACTATCTGTGATATCTAATGTATTTCTAAAAAATGTTTTATAAACCCTGATTGGCTTCTCATTTATTGTAAAGTAAAAAAATCTTGTTAGCATTTCTAGGTCTTTCGGCATTTGTGTAGGGTTGTGGCACTATTTATGGCCACCTTAAGACAAAAATGCTTTTGTGGGGTCTGTTCATCAATCATATTTTAACAGAAATAAATAAAAATAGCATTTGATAGGTTGAAATATGTAATTTTCAAGAATAAATGTATCTATTGTGATAGCATGTGATTCTTTTTTTTGCATTTTTTTAATAACTTGGAAGAAATTCTTTACTTTTGTCCATCAGTCCGCCACTAGTTCTTTCTTTACTAATGGCCACTAATTTCTAAGTTGTATTTTTAAATATTAGTTTGCTATATGCTGTTATCATAGGGGTTGATGTAGATGAGCCAGGTAAGGGTAGATGAGCTAGGTAAGGGTGATTGTGCATCTTTAGCTGTGTAAGGTACAGGAGATTCTCAAGAAGAAATTAAATTCAAGGAATGGTGTAGGAACAATTTCTCAATCATAATGTAATTCTGCCTCAAACCCGCCCTGCTTATTTGTTATAAACAATGCTTAATTCCCAAATTAGTCTTAATATTTAATTGTAATTTTAGAGTTAAAAAAACATATTCCTAAGTAAATTTTTATAAAACAATTTTGAAAATAAATTGACTTAACTTACTTTTTATTTTTTAATAAAAAAAAAATATAAACAATTCATTAATCAAAAAAAATTGTGAAAATTCTTGCAATGTAATCATGTAAGTATTACTTATTTTCTTAAATAAAAAAGTATTTAACCTAATTGCCCAGACTAAAAAGGGATAAAAGTAAAGCAGGTTTGTTTAAACAAACAGTTTTTGTCAATTTACCAACAATTAAATTTTTTGAGATGTGTCAGTTTAATTTTAAGGGTGCAATTTGTGCTCAAGTTGTATTTTATTATTTATTTGTATGGCCTGAATTGTTACCTAGTAATACATTCTTATTTCACAGAACTCTGATATAGATTTTAAGTTTTTATAGTTATATTTTTAATACACACTGTTTTGAATAAAGTTTCAATTCGTAAAAACTATATTTTTATTAAGTTCCACATACATATTCCTTATTTTAAGGTGAAGGGTGAGAAAAAGTCCTTTATATCTCACAAGGAAAGCCAATGTTTAATTGTTTAACAAAACATTGAGTGCGACCGGTTTCGAAGTGTCATCACTTCATCTTCAGGCTCGCCTAGTGGAAAGGAGAATATGTGGTGTAAGGTGTGTTGGAAACAAAACGATATATAAAATAATAAAAAAGAGAGAAAACTCACCATACTCTCCATCCACTAGGGAATACTACAAAAACAAGTTTCATCAATTTTGGGTTGAAATAAATTGTAAAATGAACCGATTTACACGTAATAAAAAGTTAAAAATATTTGAAAAAACAAATATTAGTCAATTATAGTAAAATTTTTAAAATATTCAAGACTATACAAAAACAAATCACATACATTAAACAGATTAAAAGATAAGGCCTATTTTAAACATTGTTGTTTTTTTAAAAAAAAAATTAACATTTTTTGAAAGGAGACCTGTCAAGTTAAGGCCTCTACAGGTGGTGGTAAGTATTATAACGAAAAAATTCTTGGGTAAACTTATGACAGGGTATAGTTAATAAGATGTAAACTATGAGTGAAGAATTATTTATTACTCATAGTTTACATCTTATTAACTATACCCTGTCATAAGTTTACCCAAGAATTTTTTCGTTATAATACTTACCACCACCTGTAGAGGCCTTAACTTGACAGGTCTCCTTTCAAAAAATGTTAATTTTTTTTAAAAAAATAACAACAATGTTTAAAATAGCACTTATCTTTTAATCTGTTTAGTGTATGTGATTTGTTTTTGTATAGTCTTGAATATTTTAAAAATTTTACTATAATTGACTAATATTTTTTTTTTCAAATATTTTTAACTTTTTATTACGTGTAAATCGGTTCATTTTACAATTTATTTCAACCCAAAATTGATGAAACTTGTTTTTGTAGTATTCCCTAGTGGATGGAGAGTATGGTGAGTTTTCTCTCTTTTTTATTATTTTATATATCGTTTTGTTTCCAACACACCTTACACCACATATTCTCCTTTCCACTAGGCGAGCCTGAAGATGAAGTGATGACACTTCGAAACCGGTCGCACTCAATGTTTTGTTAAACAATTAAACATTGGCTTTCCTTGTGAGATATAAAGGACTTTTTCTCACCCTTCACCTTAAAATTACCTCAACTCACACATGGCTACCCCCCTTGTCAATATTCCTTATTGATTAAAAAATTAAATTGTATTTATAGATGTCACTTCTCTGTCATTTTGTCTCTACCCTATATTGTCATTTCCCTGATCAATGTATATTCCCTGGCATTAATAAATTTAAATCCCTTTAGAAGTCATTTGTAACATTTAGATTTTACACATGCATTTTAAGAACTGAGGGACACAGTTATATGGGACTAAAACACAATACCATATTTATTCGAGATCCCTATTTCAAAGGTCATATTATTATACAAGGTGTCCCAAATTATATAAAACAAACTGAAACCGAATACAGATATTATCATTCTAAGCAAAAAAGGTTTATATAAACATTATATGGAAAATATAAAACAAAAGGTCATGGTAAGTAATTGGTTTCGGATACTGTTTTTAATTTATATTAATGACATTGCTGATGAAGTCAAAAGATGCTCAATACACTTATTTGCGAATGATATCCTGATATATTTTACCCATGAAAACACAAACTTGTTTTGAAGAAATAAATAGTATAAGTAAAATATATGATTATTGTAACAGAAACTCATTGAAAATAAATTACGAATTAGTGTGTGAGTACTTGCTAACTATTTAATGTTTTTTTTTTCTTCTCTTATTATGTTTTGTAAAGTTATTATTTTATCATTTTACATGTATGTTGACTGTATACCTATGTGTTTTTATTTCAAAAATATGTGAAAATATGTACTGACAAAAAAAATAGTTTTTTTTTATTAAATAAATGATTTATACAATAGTGAAATTTGATTTTTTTTTGCTTTTTTGATGACACAAACAAAAAATTCCAGTTTGGCTTCCACCAAGTGCACTCATTGACTACCTACATAATAAGCCTAATCAATTAACAAAGCTGTGTAGGATATTTTTAAAAGTATTGCAATTTGTCATAAATTTAAAACTGCAAGTAAAATTACTGCCTTTTAAATATTAGAGACGTTATGTCACTCTTTTTGTAATAAAATGCTATCGAATAATTATACTTAGTGCACTTACGTATAAAAAACACTCATAACTACTTGAGTTTTTGTCATATACTTACTTACCTACTTAGTAAACAGAATTATAGTTTTTAGAAAAAGATCACTTACTTCAAAATGGTTTTCAGTACAATAATACCGCTACACCAAAACGTCCATCTGCACCAAGTTGGAATTATTAAATTTTAATATAAAACACATTGAACAAGCAAATCCCAAAATGCCATTACCATTTTGGCTATTTGGCATCCCCAAATCCATGATGAAAGATGTAAATGCAAAACACTAAAACTAAACCTAGCCCCATCAAATTAAAACAAAAATTGTACTAAAAAAATCCCACAACAAATTGACAATTGACAACATTGACGATTGACCGATTGACACTTGACAGTATGACAATTTGAGTTGCGTTCAGCAATTTTAGGGATAGAAGCAAATATCTACGACCTGTCCAAATGAGACTACAGTAAAATACACCCGGGGACAGACATTCAAATTACAGAAATGGTCACAGAACTACTAAGGGTAAGTTCGGTTTGGAACTCGGCGGATCGGACAGAGCGCGCACGGAGTGCGTGACGTCATAGACAGAGTTCGCTCTTTTTACAATCTCAAGACGAACACAAGGGGAATGACAAATGACACTAGTGATAGTTTACACTTGAATACACTTTTGTTTGTGTGTATGGACTGTAAAAAAATAATTTTAATCAAATAGGAAATAGTTATAATAAAAACAAACAAGAAATAATACGTGTAAGACTGATTAATCGCCGATCAGAATATTGACATTTGACATTTTTGACACATTCCTACAGATACCCGCCGATCTCCATCGACAACTAGGGGAAGAGTGAGCGCGCTATGAGTACGTGATCTGTGGCAAGCCGAACACAAAAGAGTACGCTCTGAGTGCCAAGGCGACCACAATCGAGGCATACCGAGTGCACTCTGAGTACAGCGAACGCTAAACCGAACTTAGCCATAGAAAATTATAATATTAGTTATATTATTTACTTTAATGAAACAACTGAGATGTTGGTTTTCATTAGTTTTATTTAAGCGTACCAATATGTTGAGTGTGTATCTTTTACCGCTGAAACTGAACTGTCATTCCACAGTTTACACAGTGAGTGCCAACATGCACAGTGGTGCCAACTTACATCCAACATATATGACACGCCCTTTTTTTTAATAAAAAATACAAAATGTGAAAAATGATTAAACAAGAAATATTAAAAACACTAATAAAAAACACAATTTCGGAACACGGTGCATAACAATAACATTTTATGAATTCAAAACACTAAAATACAAAATGTGAAAAATGGTTAAACAAGATATATTAAAAACACTAATACAGAACGCAAGTTTGGAACACTTTATAAATTCAAACGCTTAGGAGTTAACACAATTCGTCCACTTCTTGTTCTTGTTGGGTTATTTGGTGCCTCCATTTCTAATTGTGCGCTTACTCCTTCAGTTCCTGATTCGGGTTCTGTACTTTCCTGCTCAGGAGTTTCACTTTTTCTGATTGACAGAGGGGTTTCTAGATTTCTTTTTATAGGAGTATTGGCAATATCTATGTCAGGTGAAGCGAGTAATTCTGGGGGTCGCTCTCTGAATTCCTTAATCTGTTGTCTGTTCCTCCTATAAGGTGTAT